AAATGGAATTTAGAATCAGTTAGGTTTATTTCTGAACCCATCACTAAATCTTACAAATTCTTTAGTCTTGAGCGATTTACATATTCTAAGATTTGATGTTCCTTTCTGTAAGCCAGGAATAGCTCTCCCTGCTCATAGGATTAAGTAACATAATATAGGTAAGTACCTGGCATGCTAGTTCTTTTTCTTCCGTGTGATGCAAAATGATTATACATTCTCAGAGGGTGATAACCAATCTAATTGCATTACAGCTCTAGGGAGAAGTGAGAGAATGGAAACAGAGAAGCCGATTACCCGTCTGTCTCTATAAGGGCTTCCTCTATAGGTGATTTTTGCCACTTGCACATTGGTGACAACAGATGTAATTCCCATGCCAGGGAGCGTTCCTCCATATTGCTTTAGCACTGAGGGTCCCTTCAACCTGGAAATGTATGGACATTCAAGATATTTCTGTGACCACATGAGGAAAGCCTGCTCCACACAGGCTTCCTGGAAATAAGACACATACACAAATCTCTCCATGGGCCCCTTCTTTGAGTTCAATTACCTGTCAAATAACAGTCTTAAGAGGCCTTGGGAGGGTCTACCCTCAGTGCAGCATTTAAAAATCCTTTCAACATTCATTTGTTTTAGTTCTTCAGACTTTTTTTGTCTCAAAAGAAGATTCTCTTCCTGAATGATCTATTTCTCCTGTATCTCACAATCACCAGAGGAAAGATTTCTCCAAAACTAAACAATTCTGCTTGTAGAGTTTTTTTGGAGGCTGTGTAGGGAACCAATAAACACATGTCTCCCATTTGAGTTCTGAATCTATTAAGAAAGAAACACTGGGGTCAAACAAAAGTCTAAATGGGGCACCTGAGTGGCTCAGTCAGTTAAGTGTCCGACTTTGACTCAGGTCCTGATCTCATGGTTTGTGGGTTCGAGCACTGCGTCGGGCTCTGTGCTGACAGCTAGCTCGGAGCCTGGAGCCTGCTTTGGATTCTGTGTCTCCCTCTCTCTCTCTGACCCTCCCCTGCTCACGCTGCCTCTCTCTCTCTCTCAGAAATAAAACATTTTTTAAAAAGTTAAAAACAAAAGTCTAAATATTGGTGTTACTGATGGAAAAGTGGTATTGGAAAATGTGAGATGAGAGGTTTACATGAGCATCTATTCTTTTTTCCTAAGTTCTAGACCTTGAGACCCACACCTGAAATAAGTCAGGTCTGGCAGCTTCTAGCTACAAGGAGCATCATCACTTGGTTCATTAAGTATAGAAAAGCCAAGAGACAAAGGCCACGGTGAATAGTATTGTTTGTCTTATCCAAAAGAGAATTGTCTACCAAAGGAGACTTCTACTGTCTCACCAGAGTCAGGAGCCAAGAAGCAGAGCAATACTTTTTAGTGGAAAGAAGTTCCTATGCCATGGGCTGGCAGGAAATGGGGATACTGCTCTGTTGTCCTGGTGCCTTTATCCTACCTTAGTAAATCCCTGGCCCTTCATGTGTTATTCCATCAGAGTATAACGGAGCATATGCCCTCCTTCTAAGCCGATGCTTATTTACACTATACCAGGTTTCTTTACTTCTCCCTCACATTCTCTTTTTTAGAATCAGTGATTATTTTTGTCATCTTATCCCTAGATCTTCTCTAAATTCCATATTTTTAAGTCAAAGAATCCTCAAAAATAACTGCTCTGGCTAACATCAACTATATGGGAATTGGATTTTCCAACAATGGAAAAACTTCCTGCGAGCTGATACAGACACTTGTGACTTACTGTGACTCTAAGTACTTCTTTCTTATTCAATAAATAGTTTATTTCTCTCTCCTGAGTGACTATGTTATACTTCCCCCAATGGTCTTCACCTACCGATTTGGCCAACCCCCAGGGTCAAGAACATTCCTCATTGTAACCCAGCCTTCCCAAGGGCTTACTCTCATGCCAGTTTACATCATAAGAGGCTAATTTAATGAGGATAGCTCCATTCATGTATCAAAGATGTTAAATAAATTTTTTGAATACCCCAACTTCCTCCAATTCACTCAAAGGAGAAAAGAGCCCCTGAATAGCCACCAAGTACCTGATCGAATTCAGACTCTAATTTCTGGGAGCCACAGGAGCACATGAGCAATTCTAGAAATGAGTACTGTGGTCTCAAGGACCAAGAGAGAAAGGAGGGAAAGGTTTGATGAGCAAAAGGGAGACGGTGATCTGCTGAGGGTCAAGAGGACCAAACACATCACAATTGTCCTTTGGCAACTAATAGCAAGTATGGCAACAATGATAATAGCCCCCTATGTAAGATTATACCATTAAGTCCTTCCTTTTCATGGGGAACCTGGAGTCTGCTACAATTATCTTGGTAATTAAACAGGTGGCTGATGTTAGATAGACCATACACTAACCTTGGTATCAATTTTCTGGTGCTACCATTCTTAGAGCTGTGACCTTGGGAAAATCACCTTCCTCATCTGGAAGACGGGCATGATAATACCTATGTCACAAGGTTGTTGTATTATTCAAATGGGAATGAGGATACAAAAGCACTTTGGAAACTGAAGGACTACACAAACTGAAGGTGTTTTTATTGCTAGTAACAGTTATTATTCCACCATCCCTGCAAAGCCTATAAAGGGATGAATATTACATTACCCATTTTACAGACAAGAAAGCAGAGGTACAAAGAACCCATGTGATTTTAACATTGGAAAGTATCATGAGCTTCAGAATCAGGTGGGTTTGAATCCTATATATTAGCTGTGTGACCTGGGGGTAGTTACCGAACTTCTCTGAACTTCAGTTTCTTCTACAAAATTGGCGTTTTTATGGGAATTGCCTGAGATAACACCAGTAAAACACACGATACATCTAACACCTAACATGTATTTAAGAAATGGTAACTGTTATTGTTTAGCTAGGTCTGCTCTACACAACAGAATTGTTTCAGCCATCCTTATCTTACGGAATCACTTTAATTACTTTTTGTTATTTCTGAAAGACCATGATGTGCACAGCCCTTAAATACTTTTACTTCTTGACTCAGTTTGTTTCATGGAATACACTACCAAAAAACAGGGAGGTAGTCACACAATAGACAGTTTAGGAGAGACTGTGTTTTAGCTGGGCAAGCATGAGGGAACAGTTTCCCCTTTGGCTATCCACAGGCTCTTATTGGTAGCAATGCTTAAAGGCCAAGTTCATTGGTATCAACTATGTATTATGTAAAACAAAAGGGTTTCCCCCATCACTTAAAGATCAGTTTTTTTCAATAAAGGAGAAAGCGATGTAACACAAGCCTTTGCAGGTGCAAAAGGAAAGCTTGGGGGCAGAGTGGCAGGGCACCCCAATCCTTCCTCTGGCCTTCCCTCAATAACAAAAAGAAAAAGCCTAGCTGAGACTGGGTGAGGGTGAGTGTATCCCTCGGTTCTGGGTACTGTGACTCTGAGCTCCCATCAGTGGGCTGTCTGGGTTCCCCACACCTAACCCACTCGCTATGATAGGGTCACACCATTTGTCAGAGCCACTGGACAGCTGGTGAGATAATCTCATTTAAAACTTGTTCTGTGCCTCCTAGAGAAAGGGACCCTTGGGTATCAACATTTAGGCACAGCTCACAGCAGAGTCCCACTCTGATCTGGGCAAGAGAATAGCATGTGTGTGCCTCTGTGTGTGTGATGTGTGTTTATACAAGTGTGTGCTAGCGTCCGTAGGTATGTGCATTTATGTGTGCGTGTGCACATACACACACAACTTCCATTTCCTGGGAGCCTTCTCGCTGCCTCAAGAGAGCAGTGAAGAGAAAGGCTGTGGCAAGGAGAACCCAGAGCCATGGGGTAAATGTGGCTCAGGAAGTCCCAGGTTCTGGCTGCCTCCCATAGCTTCCTCTGCCTCAGATGCTCTGTCTTCCTCTTTGCACAGTGAATATCTCATCCTTCCCTTCTCCAGTAAAACCACCCTTGATCTCTAGAACTTGGTCAAACCCTCCCTTATTACAAATTCCAAAACCACGTTCCGCTCCCTGAATAAAACACTCTTTCATGACATTTACCAGGAGCATGTTTTGACATTTATTTGAGTGATCAGTTTGTCTCACTCACTAGGCCGAAATCTTCATGAGAGCAGGGCAACGTCTGTTATTGTTTACCGGTGTGTCTAGGCACATGGCAGATCCTACAATAATACTTGGTCTTTCAGGGAACCTTGAGTGGAGTCATTCCTAGTCTCTGCCTTCAGTACCTCCTTGTCTACCAGGCAGAGGAAACTTGCAAATAGATTCTTACATTAGAATGTGCCAAGGGCTAGGATGCAAATTTGTACTAGCAGCTGTAAGATTAGATAAAGATAAGGAAAACTTTCTCTGCTTGGGTAGATTGTTCAGAGAGGACCTTATAGGGGCCATGCATGAGTTCCATTTTGACATGCAATTCAGAATCCACCAGGCAAGGGACGTCTTCTAGCCCAGAGAACTAACAGCATGTCCAAAGATGAGGGCTGTAAGAGCGAAAGCAGACTTGGGACTTTTCCATACCTACGAGTGGAAATGATGTAGGCTGTAAGAAGATATGGAAAATGATGCCAGAGAGGGCAACCTGAGTTGCATTCTTGCCGCTCCCAAAATTCTTTGATGGAAGGAAAGATCAGAACAACAGCCAGCTGAAAGAATGTAAAGGGTCTCAAAATATCCGCTACCAGCAGCTCCTTAGACTGAAGCAGCTGCAGTGGATAGTTTGGACCAGTGGTTCCCGAAGTGTGGTCCCCCAATCAGCAGCATCAGCATCTTTTGGGAGCTAGTTAGAAATGCAAATATTCAGGTGCCCCTCCAGAACTACTAAATCAGAAACTCTGGATGTGCAGCCCAGTCATCTGTGCTTTTACAGACCCTCCGGGTGATCTGACGCACGAAGCAGTTGGAGAACTATTGGTTTCTGGAGGTCCCCAGAGGGCTACAGCTTATTTTTTTTTCCAGGATATAATGCACAGAGATTGATATAAGAAGAAGTTCTTGAAAATAGCATTTTATTTATTGGCAAATAAACACGGGCTTTGACGTATTCCAGGGGCCTTAAACCTTAAGGTACTTCTCCTTCAGGGAGACTGAGCTCCGCCAGCAAAGACAGTGCCTCCTGTTGCAAGGCAGGTACTTCTGGTGAACAGGGGAGACGAGAAAGCCTTGCTCAGGGCACGAGGGCAAACCTGGGACCTCCTGCGGCCACAGCCTGCCAAGCCTGCCTGTGGCTCTGGAAATCAGGACAAGACAAGATTCCCACGTACAAAATTAGAACTTAGAATCAGATTAGTTATCTTGGACAGCCTTAGCAGGGAGGAATGTTATCAGTGTACAGATCTACACACAGGTCTATATGAAACTGAACTGAAACCATACGGTCTTCCAATAGAAAGCCACCACAGCCGGAGAGAGCAGAGGAGCGACAGAATGCCTGTGCTACCCCTTGCCTAGAAAAATCAGGAACTGGATTTCTATGGACTGTCTGAGGCCGGCCTGTCCCTGCTGCATTGCCAAAGCCTGCTTTCACCTCTAGTCTGGGTTGCATGCAGCCTTCAGGGCCTGCTTCTAGAGGTGTAGACTTTTGCAATCACCTGTCAAAAGTAACATAAAGTCCAAGAGACCAGCAGCCAGTTGCAGTGTTTTATTTTTTAGAGGCAGACTGTAATTACCTCTCAAATGACTGAATCACAAAGCACTATGGTGTTGCGGGACAATGTGAAGGAAGCACTCGATGTTGTGTAAATATTCTTTTCCTTCACCCAGGTCATAAACTTTAAGCACCTCATTCTCTGGCTGCTTCCCTTTCCAAGGTGATCTGCCCACTTCTATGGCATAAGGGGGAAACACAAGAGGTTTAGAACGAGATGGACCTGGGTAGCTCCAAAATTCACCAGCTGGGTGACCTTGGATAGGTCATTCATTTCATTTCATTTCACTTATCTGTGAACTAGGGAAAATAAGATCCTGCCATTTGTGTGAGGATGGAAGGAGATGATGTTTATGAAAAACCACGACAATGATGGGTCCACTCTAAGAGATCAGTAGGTGTGGTGCCTCTCCCCTCCCTGGGGCGGTTGTAAAGACTACCTGAGACGGTAAATGTGAAAGGCACTTAGCGTGCTGTGAACATGTTATACAAATGTTGGCTGTTGCTATTCCTCTTCTCCTCTTTCCATCTAATTTTTATCTCTAAGTCTCTTTAGAGTTTTAGTTTTCACAGGAATTACACAACGTTAGCTTTAAAAAGACACCCACTATCATGCCCTCAGCTACATGCGTCCCATATACTCTCTCATTTAATCCACACAATGATTAGTTAATTCTCCTTCTTTTTTTAAAGTTAAGCAAACTCAACTCCAAGGAGTTACCTGTGGTTTAGGGGGCTCTGAAGTCAGGACTAGCTTTTGAGCCTGTCTCAGTCTGAGGCTGCACGATGTCTCCCTGGGAGAGGTCCTGGAGGTCTTTGTCACCCAATTCCAATGCTATAGCCACAAGGGACTTGTCCAGGGCCACATAACAAAGTATAGGAAGCACCAGGGTTAAACTCACAGCTTCCAGTGCTCAGGCTCAAGATCTCTGCTCCTATGTATGTTTCGGTCACAATCTCCAGACACAGGAGAGGCAAGATCTAAATCATCCTTTTCCGAACTATCACCAAGGAAACTCTAGTTTGACAAAGAATTCTCCTAGGGTGCTTTCTTTGTGGAGCTTCTAATCCCAGAGTGAGGTAGGGAGGATGGTGGGGGTGGGGGGCAGAGGGAGATCTTCAGAAGCTTAGTTCCTGTTTATCCATGTGTCGTTCTCCGAATACCTGGGGCTATAATATCCATTTAGAAAGATTAAATCAAACAGGACTGGGGACAGAATAGGGGAGCTAAGAGAGAGGCAGAGAGAGAAGAAAGTGGAATTCTCTAAGCATTAAAATAAAGAACCTAAGACATTACTTAATTCTCAAATAGGTCTCACTTCTTAAAGACAAGCTGCTCCTTGGGAAATTACAGGCAGGTGAAGGCAGTTTGGCTTATTTCTTTTTTGTCCATGAACTTGGCTTTTCTTTCTAGCATTCTCAGGTGCACTGGAGGCCCTGGGAAGAGAGAGGACTTTTTCAAAAGACACTTCCACCTCCTAATCCCTATGCCTACAAACCAAATATTGATCTATTTAGTAAACCAGCCTGTGGGAGGAGAGATTGTAAAGCCCTGTTTACTCAGCAGTTGGGCCCCCCTGACAGCTGTTCAACGGGGGATTATGATGTCACAGTGGTAATTACACTATAAACAAGGGATGGGGGAGAATAAAGCATGAAAGGAAACTGTAGGGCTAGTTACCAGGCAACACAAAATATGTAACCTGAAACCCGACAAGCATGTTAATTTCCTTGCAAGCTTCCCAGATGTCCTCACTTTATGGCCAATGCTCAGTTTCAGTTTCAATTTATTTATTTGCCCTTCTTCAGTCACAAATGTGGAGCTGAAAATATTGGAAGAGAGGAGAAAAAGCAAAGAAAAATGCAAAAAGGAAGGCTTGTGCTTTCCTCCTGGGATGTAAGCAGTCAGGAGGAAGCTAAGAGGCTTGGACTTCTCTCAGAAAAGATGTGGAGGTCATTGCCAAAGGCGAGAGCTAGACCAGGTAAAGCCACAAAAGGCAACTGAGAGAGTGAGCCAGGGGAGAGAGGAGGAAGAGGGAAAACGGAACAAAAAGTGAGAAGATGAAAGTGGTTAAATGAGAGAAAGAGAAGAAAGAAGACTCCACTTCCGGATCAGCCTCCAGAGGCTAGAAGGGGCCCCTGAGCCCCACTGCACAGCCCCACCTAGTGGTTGCCCCCCACATCTTCCTCCATCCCTCCGGAGCCATAACGCCCAGCAGTCCTGCAATCCTTTGGGCAGCTTTATCCAAAAATTCTTATGTAGAGCTGGAATCAGCTTCCTGGTTGTAGACACCTCCCCTGAGGCCCAGGAAAAGGCACTCACAGCCCCACAGGGCCTGGGCTAGGTATACCCTGTGTCTTCCTGCTCCTGGATCCTTATCCCCAACCACGGCCCACCGTTCTCCCTCCCAAAGTGTTTTTGCTTTTGTTTTTTAAATCAAATTCTTTCTTCCTCACCACACCCCCTCGAGCAATTTTCTGTTTGTCAGTGTTCCTCTTAGAATCCTGGCTTTGAAACTAGACACCCCCTCAGGTGAGGTCCCACCTCACAGTAGGAAGCTGGATGGACCTCAGCCCCCACCCCCACCTTCCCCCCTTCAGGCCCCTCTCTTGGGAGAGCTGCAAAGGTGTGCTGGCCGGGGCTGGAGAGCTGACTGTGAGGTCTGCAGCAATTCAGTGAGCTGGTTTTTAAATCACTGGTAACTTGAAATCTACCATGGTGACAGTATTTACACCACAGACATGGGCAAACAAGACAGATCAGGACTTCCCTTCCCCATCCTCCAGAGAGCTGTTTACCAGCTCCTCACTGTTCCTGGCTAATCACATTTGACCTCTTTTGGGACTCAGTGATTCTCAGGGGATTGAAGGAAACCTGTAGCCAGGGACCCTTGTAAACCACAGGGCTCCAAACAAAAGCTCCAGGAGCAGGATGTGTGCCAGTTAGATGTAAAGAATATGGAACAGGATTTTAATTCCCCTTGACTCTCTTCCTGTATAGTGACCACCTTTGCTGACTGAGAACATTTCTCTTGGGACTGAATTCCTCAGGGGATTCCTAGAGCCAGATGCTGGGTGACCAAGTTGGGGACAGAGGGGGAGGCGGGGAGCTCACTGAACTGAATCATAGAGGCTGCTCCTGGTATGGGCACAGATACAGGAGTGGATACAATCAATGGCTTTTCTGCAAACTTGGGAATTCTGTCACATTTCTTCTCCTCCTAAATTCTTATAATAACTGTCTAGAATGACAGTTTGGTGACAAGGCTAAGTTCCAGTCCTGGCTCAGCCACTTCCTCAGTGTTTGATTGGAAGCCTATGCTTGTCCCTTTCTGGGCCTCAGTGTCCCTGTCTGTCAGCAATGAGGGTTGAGTCTGAAGACCTCTGACTCCAGATGACTTTTGCGGCTGGCTCCAGCGTGGGCCACAGCACGGAGGCGCTCATAGGCAGGGCGAGCGGAGCTTGGCCCTGGGGGAGGAGCGTTTTTCCACATTGTAACTCTCACTGTGAGGACTTGTTTCTCACCTCCACTCCTCTGTTGTCCTGGGGATGCTTTGTTTGTTGTGGCTCTCCTCAGATGCACTACAAGTCGTCCTCGACAATGCAGCCCTGGGCCACGTTCTCTCCCAGGGACTCTCACCCAAGTCCAAGCTCACTTTCAGTCATTTCCTTAACCCCAGCAACCAAGCCTCAGATGGAGCAGAGATCTGGGGGAACTTGGCAGAGTTCCATCCCTCTGCAAAGATCTTCCCTTTGGCTCTTACCTGAGCCATTCACAAGAGAAGATACACGAGGGTGTTTTCCTTTGCCAACATTATGACAACCTAGGAAACATCCTAGTGCTGCTGCTCGGCCTTCCTCTCTAGAGCCCAGGGTTTCAAGTTAGAGTTCAACATCATTTGCCAGCTCATTCTGACTTCGTCACCCGTCGGAGCCCCTGCTCAGCATCTGTACACCTCTTGCCCCCACTTCCCGATCACTCTTCACACACATGTCCCTGTAACCTGATTCCTTTGAGTGTCTGTTCAGATGTTAAGTCCCCGGCTTCCCACTGACAGCTCTGTGTGAATAGCAACCCTCCACACACCCATCCTCACAAGCCTCCTGATTTTGTCTGTCAGATTGTCACCATCTGATCGATGTATTTATCTGCATTTAACCCTTTCCCAAACATTAGATCTATGGGCACAGGGGCTTTGTTTTGCTGACCTCTAGATCCCCAGTGCCTGGGACAGTGTCTGGGACATGACAGAGACACTGTTAATACCTGCCGAATGACTGACTATATAGTCCTCATTATCTGCAGATTCCATGTTGTGAATTTGCCTACTCCCCAAAATTTATTTGTAATCCAAATCAATATTTATGGCATCTTCATTTATGGCACCGTACAGATTTGTAAGGAGGGATGAAACATTTGATTTGCCGAATGCACCTGTCCCCAGGTGAAGTTGAGCAAAGTGGTGCTCTGCCTTCTTGTGTCAGCTCTCTTTTGTCTGAAGTCTATCTGGTGGCATGTTTTTCACATCTTTGTGCTTTTTTGCAGTGATTTCACTGTTTAAAATGGCCCAAACACAGTGCTAAAGTGCTGTCTAATGACCCTAAATGCAAGAAGGCTATGATCTACCTTACAGAGAAAATACATGCGTTAGATAAGTGTCGCCTAGGCGTGAATTATAGTGCTGTCAGCCATGAATCCAGTATTAATGTATCAACATATTTATCAAATAATGTCATTAAACAGAAATACACATAAAACTAAGTTATGTACTGAATCTCCTGATGACAATGTTATGACCAGAGCCTAACTTGTATTTCCCCTGGAAGCAATGGTTCATATTCTTTAATTCAGTGTCCACAGGCACTTTATAGCAACCATGAATAATGAAAATCATTTGTAGAGGGGTTAGAATCTTGAGTGCTAACCCATGAAAAGCAGCAGTGATCTAGTGAGTAACTATGACTCTCTGAGCCTTAGATTCCTACCTACCAATTGATAATAATAGTGCCTATCCTCATAGCTGTTCAAAAGAATCAGTTAGATGCTTAATGCACCTAAATGGGTAGTGTAGCACCTGGCCCATTGAGGGTAGACCATAATCATGGACTCCTCTAACCTTTCTCTTATTCATAAACATATTTGCAATCCACAGGACAAATACGTTTTGCTTTCTTGTGTTATCAAAAGCATTTCTCCATATAGTTCCCAGGACTTTGAGACAGCCTATCAATTGTCCTGATCCTTTCTCTTAGTGTTGAACCCTGAGCTTATATCAAACTTTGAATTGGGCGATGAACAACTTTTTTGTTGTTAATGTAACTTTTCCTCTTTCTTAAGGAATTTATTTCTTAGATGAAGCTTCTAGGAGTGGGATTACTAATTCAATGGGTACAAACAGCTATGTAGCCCTGAGAGTAAGTTTCGATAGTGGTTGTACGAAAAGACTTCTTGGCAGACACTCGGTCGGGTGTGTGTGCACAGGACTTAGAGGTTCGCCAAGTGATTTGCCCATTCTCCTGCAGCTTTCAGCTTCTCAAGAGAATCCAGACCTGGGAGAAGCCTTAGCAACCAGCTCATCACATAAGGGGAAACTGAGGCTTGTCCAGGGTGATATGACCAGTCTGTGCCAGATAAGGACTGGATCCCAGCTCCACTGACTCTCAGATCAGTCTTCTTCCTACCATCCCTTGGCCAGAATGAAAAGGAAAGTGTTCCTACCAGGCATAGTAATGCTGCTTTCTCCAGCTTTTAGGACCTATCACTTGGAAGAAAGAAAATGTGATAAAGTCTGTTTCCTACTGAGAAATTTAAACATGCAATTCTGTTCACTTCTTCCTTTTTAACTTCTGTATTGCCAGAGTGACTAGCAGGATAAAAAAGAAAAAAAGGCTTTGTGCTCATGAACCTGGTTCAATTTCCGAAAGACTGAGGGAGAATCTAAAGCCGACCAGCACAATTCTGTCCCTGTACCTGTCATGGAAACACTGTTCAGTCAAGTGTTTCTTGTAGGAGGCACCAAGACTGCAACTTTTCTCATGAGACTGTGAAGCATGAACCAAGCAGCGCTTCTCTGATATGAAGATAACATATATATACATATGAACCATCATGACAGTAATTAATGGCTCCTAGCGAATGACAGGGTCTTAAGGAGTCGTCTGCTCTATTAACAATTTTCAAACCACTCTAAAATTCAGTTGTCTACTTTGCCTCAGAAAGTTCCCAGGGACATCAGAACAGAACAAAGCACAATTAAAACTATTCAAGTTTCAGATGGACATTTTTTGATCTTAGAAAACAGTTCTTGTTCAGTTTCAGCCAAGAAAAGAAATCCCCCAGACATTCATGGAACCAGTCTTCGGGCTGGGCCAGTGAGGCCAATGACCCTCAGGTTGACACTGAGTATGAGAAGAGTTTCACAGAAATGTGTGCCTCACTTAAAGTCTTGGATTGAGGATGAGATGAGTTTATCTAACATCAGAAGAATTGCAATGACATAGGAACAGACTGCCCTTTTTCTCTATGGAAGCTAGCAGCCCCATGTGCTTGCCTAAGATTGCCT